TATATATATATGTCAACGGGTCAAGATGTAAAGTGAGATAAAACTAGTCTCATATCATGGGACTTAGGGCATTTGCAGGCTTATCACGGACAATTAGTTATATCCATTAACGAGGTATTGAGTGTTATTGAGAAATAAAGTTTCTTTTTAAATCAATCTCGCGGGATTTTATCCTAGGTCACGTGACTTAGGGCAAATCGCTTTCGACAAAACAATTAACGTCAATATGACAGTAATAACAGATCAGTACGCCTTTGATTTTTAATTTTATTCCCAATTTTATTGTGAAATTCTTTTATCATATGCTACCTACCCGTGCTTAAATTCCGGGATTTTTTTTCACCTTTTCAAATCTAATTTAAACACTAGTGATATGTTTTATAGGTGGAAACATATCTGATTGTCATATGTAAACGTGGTATGTATATTTAAATAAATCAGTACAAATATGTTACCAGATAATCTGCAGGTCAAAATATGATAATTGGGCCAAATATCGCTTAGTCTAAAGTTGCTTAAATTTATCGTATAATGCTTGATGTGAAACTTGAGCTGGTTACTTAACTAAATGAAGGTAAAAATTACACAATTATATCAATGAGCGGGATTGGGTGTTCACGTGACTCAGAATACCACTTACTATTTTGGAAATTATTTAGATTCGATTGATTCAGTTTTCTTTCAAAGTAAAGAATTCTCTTCCATTTTATTCCTGAAACAAATATTTCTCGAATAATTATTAGATATTATTTTCAGTCCAAAAAATAAGTTTACTGTACAGTTGAATAAAAAAAAAGTTTTATCTAAAAAAAAATTCGTTTTACGGAAACATGTATAGGAATTTTTTTAATTCTCTGAATTTCTGTACTTTTAATTTCGTTACCGAGTCTGCTAAAAGTTTGTAAAAAATTGTGTTACTGACAAATTAATACCTATATTTAAAAAATATTCTCCTTAATTTACCTACTAACTGCGCACATAATATTTTGCTACTAGAGATGGTTTTTCATGAGCGGACAGTTTTCCACGAATGAAAAA